GAGATGGGGGTTGGTCAGTGAGGTGGGAGGAAAGGATAGGTGGGAGAGAAGACGGACAGGTCAAGGAGGCGGGGACCGGGGAGGCTGGTCTTGGGATAAGGTTGGGGGTGGGGAGATTTTGAAGCTATCATCAAGATATCATCAAGAAGGTTGATGTCAATAACATTGATGTATTCTGACAGATAGTAAATCAGGAAGTAAAATCCTCTAATCATCCTTTACTTTTTATTAAATTGTAATAGATGCCATAACAGATGAGTGGAACATACACATGGTGTTAAAATAGCTAAAATTGCATAAACTAATTTTTACAAATATATCATTTTTAATATCAGTTTTTCAGGGCCAGTATTGATGTTCACAAGTGCTCGTGAAATTAACGTGCCATTAAAAACCCAAGTTCAGCATATCTAATACATGGCAACTTTCTCAAAGCTTTTTACAGTGAGACTAACGGCATTTTTATTTTCATGAATTCAGTGATTTTGAATTCATTGCAAACTGGGGGAGGTTGCACCCTAAGAAGGAACATCCAATTATTGCAGGTTCTTCTGGAATTATCCACTTTTGACTACCTGGCTTGTCATTTCTGCAGAGTAATAATAGTGAATGCTAATAGCATCGCTATTGTTATTTCTACTAAGTCTAGACCATTATGATTACAGAGTTTGGGTTTGAAAGGCATAAAAGGGAACTAAGTCTCCATTTGCGACAATAGATCAAATTTAAATGTAAATGTGTGCTGTAGTCTTAAAAATACTCTCCCCACCTTTTTGAACCAAATAAATCAATCTTTCTTTTTTTATCTAAAATTGGAATAAACTATAGTATATACTATAGTATACTATAGTATTTTCCCAATCTAATTTTTTCACAAGGAAACCATACTGTTAGTGCTTATATTTATTTACTATTTATTCCATATTCAGCTTTTTCCTACAGTCCTGCCTCATGTCTTCGTAAGCATTTCTACCATTCTATGAAATGCCATAACCTACAAGGTTTCAGGCCAAAAGCTGAAAAATAGAATTTGGCTGGATAGCTCTTTTTCAGTCGGCGCAGACATAAAGAGACAAATGGCTTCCTTCTGTTCCATGAATCTTTCTGATTTCATAAACAGCACATGTTGCAAACAACCGAAACTCACTTTCTTTGTGATATGGATATTGCTGGCTAGGCCAGCCTATGTTGAACTGCCCCTTGAACTGAGATAGTAGGAACTGCAGATGCTGGAGAATCCGAGACAACAAGGTGCAGGGCTGGATGAACGCAGCAGGCCAAGCAGCATACTCATATTCCGCTTGGGAACCCTGCAGCCCAATGGTATCAATGTGGATTTCACAAGTTTCAAAATCTCCCCTCCCCCTACTGCATCCCAAAACCAGTCCAGCTCGTCCCTGCCTCCCTAACCTGTTCTTCCTTCCACCTATCCCCTCCTCCCACCTCAAGCCGCACCTCCATCTCCTACCGACTAACCTCATCCCGCCCCCTTGACCTGTCCGTCCTCCCTGGACTGACCTATCCCCTTCCTAACTCCCCACCTACACTCACCTTTACTGGCCCCATCCCCGCCTCTTCGACCTGTTTGTTTCCTCTCCACCTATCCTCTCCTCTATCCATCTTCTATCCGCCTCCCACTCTCTCCCTATTTATTTCAGAACCCCCTTCCCCTCCCCCTTTTCTGATAAGCCTCTCTGCTCCTATGATGCTGCTTGGCCTGCTGCGTTCATCCAGCCCTGCACCTTGTTGCCCTTTGAACTGAATGACTCTCAAGACCATTTCAAAAAGCAGTTGAGTCCACTTCATTGTTGAATGTGGGGATGGGGTCTGGAGTCACACGTAGGCCAGACCAAGTAAGGATTATAGATTTCCTTCTCTAAAGAGCATTAGTGAACCAGATGGGTTTATATGACAGCTGAAACAAAGTCTATATTAGACTAATTTTTAATTCAAGATTTTTTATTGAATTCAAGTTTTGCTATCTGCTGTGGCCAGATTTGAATGATTGTCCCCAGACCATTAGATGGAGTTCTTGGATTGCTAGTCTAGTAACCTTCACCACCTTCCTCCTCATTGTATACTCAGTATCCACTTAATATACGTTGAATAAAACCTATCACAACATGCTTTGGGTGTGGGGTGAAAATCTGCTCTGGAAGCCTACCCAAAATTGTGGATACAACAGTTCTCATCTTCCAAGATGTGTATCTTTGATCAGCGTATTATCATTAGCCTACAAAATGTCAGCAATGAGAGAAATTAAAATGTGTCTTTTCCATTGTCTACCAATCATTTCAATTGTGGGTGCAGTGCTAATCAAGCGGGCTGCTTTGTTCTGGATGGTGTCAAGCTTCTTGAGTGTTGTTGGGGCTGCACTCATCCAGGCAAATGGGGTGTATTCCATCACACTCCTGACTTGTGCCTTGTAGATGGTGGACAGGTTTTGAGGACTCCGAAGGTGAGTTACTCGCCGCAGTATTCCTAACTGTTTGAAATAATCATGTCACAGTGGGTGAAAGGTATTCAGCATGACAGTTAGATCTGGTTCACTAAGAATGCATAACTTAGTTACTATGGGATACAAAGAAGAGTGGGCTTTTAGTCCAGACCTTCTGGTCTGTGGTTGCCAAGGAGGATCTGGGACTCTACCTTGATATTAAGTCTGCATTCATATCCTTATTGGGATGAAGCTTCATGATACATGGGTTCTAAAGTGAACAGAACCATGAATAGATTTAAGTTTGATTTGTGTTTCTATATTATGTTGGTTAAAAAGGTAGGAAACATACTTTTAGTTTCATTTTAGATTTTAAGTTCTATGAATGGTGTTCGGTTGGCTGGAGTCTGTTTACATGCATATAAAAGAGTCTTTTAAAAATCTCTGAAGGAAATCATTTAGTGATATAAAAAACAAGTGTAGAAGGGAGAAAAAAGTTGTGATGTTGCTAAACCACTGGATGTCGAATGACCGAGATTACCATCACTGAATCCCCACTACCAGCATTCTGGGGATTATCATTGCCAGAAACTCAACTGGACTCACCACATAAACACAGTCGCTACAAGGGCAGGTCAGAAGCTGGGAATACTGCGGCGAGTAACTCACCTCCTGACTTCTCAAAACCTGTCCACCATCTACAAGGCACAAGTCAGGAGTGTGATAGAATACTCCCCACTTGCCTGGATGAGAGCAGCCCCAACAACACTCAAGAAGCTTGACACCATCCAGAACAAAACAGCCGGTTTGATTGGCACTACATCCACAGGCATCCACTCCCTCCACCACCGATGCTCAGTGGCAGCAGTGTGTATTATTTACAAGACGCACTGCAGAAATTCACCAAAGGTCCTCAGACAGCACCTTCCGAACTCACAACTACTTCCATCTAGAAGGACAAGGGCAACAGTATATGGAAACACCACCACTTTCAAGTTCCCCTCCAAGCCACTCAACATCCTGACTTGGAAATATATTGCCATTCCTGTTGCTGGGTCAAAATCCTGGAATGCCCTCCCTAATGGCATTGTGGGTCAACCCACAGCAGGAGGACTGCAGCTGTTCAAGAAGGCAGCTCACCAACACCTTCTCAAAGGCAACTATGGATGGGCAAGAAATGCTGGCCAATCAGCAACTCCCATATCCCACAAATGAATAGGAAAAAAAAGCATAGGGAGACAGAATCAGAGTTTCCTTTCAGAAAAAGCAAACCATCCCACAGTGAGTGAGTGAGTGCGCAAATCTCTTTTTAACAGAAATAATTATTCAATGGGGAAAATGCCTGGAACATCAGTACCACAGTTACATATGGAAAGGAGTAAGTGAGCTACGTTACCAGTTTGTTTAAGAGCCTTATTGAGAGATGTTACTTAAAGAAGGTAGAATTGCATGAATGCAAAAGTTTGTTAGGAAGAAATCCTCTGGGACCACTGAACAAGGAAATTTAAAAGTGAAAACTATCATTGTGGTAGGAGTACCTGGAAAGCTGTTTTTGATGATGAAAGGTTGAATCTTTATTTCTGGTATTTGTAATGAGATTATTTCAACCCATAGCAAACCTTACATACAATCCTGTTTTAGTGCTGCCAACCCATTCTCACCCTTTCTCAGGCCTATTATCACATTGCATGACTTTATTTTACTATTCCAACCAGTGCTTGTCCAACTATTCTTGCAGTATATTTTTGTTTATTTTTGCCTTTTGTATGTGAGAAATTTTGATGTTCTTTCATTAAGTGCACATTGGCAATCTCATAAAAATCCAGGAGATTCCTTCTGGTCATTCTGACTATTTCTTGGACATGAAACGTGGACATGAACAGGGCAGCACCTGTAGGACCAGCTTTGGTTCAATATTTCCTGACCCTTCATATTTTAGTTCTTATAGAATATTTTTATTCCGGACATTGGAGCATGGTTAATGTCCACATAACTATATGCCAGTGGAATGAGGGGAGTGAACTGGAATAAAGGGAGAAAGACAAAGAGGATTGTGGTGTCAAAGTATTTTGACCATGGATCTCAATCTAATGCCTGTGTTCTAACTCAGCCTGGATTTGCAAGCAGCAACCCAAAGTTAAATCGATAGAAAGTAAGTAATGTGATCTGCTTTGTGAATGCGTTTCCATTTGGCATCATGCGTGTTGGTATTCTATCAGAGGGCCTGTAAGTTTGCCGTTCTGTTTCTATTCTGTTTTTCAGCACCAGAGCAAGTTTAAAAAGATGGCCTTACTGACACAGCTCTAAGATATCCTCTAGGCCTCGGCATTAAATATCAGATTTGCATTGAAACATTAGTAACTGGTGAAGTAACTCCTGATTGCTTCTAAACAAAGTCACCAACAAGATCTGTTCAGATGCTTTTGTTTCTACTTCAGCTTTATTTACAGTTTGACCATTTAACTCACTTGCCCTTATTGAACTAAGTCACTAAGACCTTCTGTTTGAAATTGTTTACATTTCACCACAATATCCTTGTTAATTAATTTCTATTCAATTCTAGCGCCGCCCCAGTAGATGGCCTGCAATGAAGTTCAGACGTGGCTCTGGTCATCCTGCTTATGCCGAAGTGGAGCCAGTTGGGCAGGAGAAAGAAGGTTTTATTGTGTCTGAACAGTGCTGAAACTGAGCGAAAATAAAGTAGTGCACCAGTACTGGCCTACAGGTGTGGGATTTATGCTCTGAAATGAATAAAGAAGCAAGTTCAAACCCACTTTCCATGAAATACCCACTTCTGGATCAGGTCAAAGTAAGAAAGATACACATTTTCATCTACAAGATCACCACTCCATAATCTTCCTTAGTAGCCCTGCAGAAATCATCAATTTGTCAAAAAGAACTTATGATCCCTTTCGGATAACTGTTGTGGAATTGAATGAGCATTAGTGATGCAAACAAGCCGCAAAACTAAAGAATCAAGTTCATTCCATCTTTACTGGTTCAAGTAAACCTCAACAAGTAAGAGTGGAAAAGAAATCAATTATCCATGTTACCATGGTTAAAAATGCAGGAAAATTGCTTACAGCATGCTTTTAGCCGATCATCAATCAGATAAAGTAATGGATAGATTCACTCTCTTCAGCATTTACTTTGATTCTTTAAAAGTGTATACGTTAAAAAAAATCACTGACATCAGTTGAGGGAAATGTAGTTAACGTGTACGTTTTCTTAATGAGGATATTTTTGAATTCATCTGAGGTTTTGAGTGATTATGAATCATTACAAATGGATTTCTTTCCTGTAGATGAGCTATAATATGGTAAAATTTCATGTCTCAATTGTCAAGATTCAGTTGCGTAAGGCTTGGGAGGCAACTGAAGACAATTGATGTGTTATTTTAAAAAAGGAAAGTTTGCAAATAAGCAATTCTGACTTTTTTTGATAAATTTGATTTATTTCCCTCGGTGACTTCTGACAGTCCTGATGTAAACCTTTTAAGTTAACAAGAAAATCTCCAAATTATTATGCACAAGATTCGATTAGTTTCAAATTGCTGAGGGATTGATACCCTCTGTGTTGCAAATTGTGCAATGTATCATCTTTTGGCTTGAAAAGTAGTGAGACTGCAAAGGTTTAAATACTCCCTTACTAGAAACCAAATGCTGGGAATATTTGCATATTCAATTAGTTCTGTTGTGTAGTGGACACATTGGTTAAATAGATGAATATATTTTGTTTCTTGATAGCTTACACAAGACAGGTTCTTGTGTCTCCAGATTGTGATGAAATGTTATAGTGTATTTTTACCATCCAGAAGAGGCGTGTAACATGAATTATCACAGACATAAAATGGGTTGTAAAGTAGTAATTAAGACTGAGTACTGTTTAACAATAGAAAGTAGCTTCGAGGAGAGCAAAGAACACGCACTTTTGACTGTCTTCACTGAAATGAATTGTTTTCTTTTGAGCTTTCTTTGTGATGTGAAACCAGGCTGTTTGTAAATTCAGGTAAGTATTTTTCTTCAATAAAATTCTGTGAAATAAATCTTCCAGTCTTAGACGTAAAGGCACTTGCTATTGTTATTAAGTATTGAAAATGGCAGATTCAGGTCTAATTACAGATTATTGACTTCTTTCCATTTGCCAACAATGCAGTCAGTGAATACTGCAGATTTGTAATCTTACACTTCAAACAATAGTGTCAGAGGTTTCACTCACTGTGAGTTCAACCTTGCTGGGAACGGATTTTGATTTTGATGAGCATTCTACATACGGTTATCAATTAGTGTTAAGACAGCTCGTTCATTGGTTTTGATCTGGAGCTATCTCGAGAAACAATTTGAAATATTTCATTAAACTTTATCCTAATGTATCAGATAAATATTGAAACTCATTTGCAGGCAATGATGACCCCCTGATAAAAACTGGCTCCTTGAGTGGAAAATGGGTATAGTTGCATTTTTTTGACTGAATGAAGTGGACTAAATGATCCTGATGTGATCCTAATTTTAGTTCAATGTTCGCTAAGGCCATAGAAACAGGAGCAAAAGTAGACTTTTTGGCCCCTCAGGCCTGCTCTGCCATTCAATAGGATCATCGCTGATCTGACATTATTCACATCCACTTTCCTGCCCTTTCCCGCTGCTGGTCAAGAATGAGCCTTAAATATATAGTACCTCTTGTAAACATTCAAGTAATGTCACCAGCTGCAAGCACCAGTGTACAAAAATGTTGCTGTGTAATGAAAAGACTCCCAAAAAGACTCCCTCATCCTCATCTTGCCAAGGCTCCTTTGACAGTCCTTCAAAGTGGTGATCTCTACCACCTGGAAAAAACAAAGGCAGCACCTATGTTAGACCATCGCCCACAAATCCCCCCCCATGCTGTTCCGCATCCTGACCTGGAACTAAATTGCCATTCTTTCACTGCTGCTTTGTGAAATCCTGGAATACCTTCCTAAACAGCACAGTAACTGTACCTACACCACATGGACATCCAGTTGTTCAAAAGCATTGCTCACCTTCACCTTTTCAAGGTCAATTAAAAATGGACAATGATTGCTGGCCTTCTCAGGAGCACTAACATTCCATGGATGAATATAAAAGACATTCAGGTGCATCAGCATCATATTGTTTCAAAAAGCAATCTATAATTCCAGGGATTAGATGCTCTGAACTGAATGCAGGTGAACAAAAACAAAAAAGCTCAGAACCAAACTTCTCTGGAGAGTTTAATAAAGTGACTACCCATATCATGAATGTATATTTCTTTTACAGATACTAGTGGAATTTCCACATTTTGTAGTTTCTTACGGTGCAAAATTTAATCAGGAAAAACCTGAATATATTTCATTTGAAACCGTAAGGCTATAAGAACGTAACAAATCAGAGTAGGAGTGAACCTGTCAAAGCTGCTTCACCAAACACTAGCTGATCTTTTGCCTCAAGTGCACTTTTTAATCTGTTCCCTATATCGCTTGATTGCCTGAGAGACCAGAAGTTTTCTCGGTGATCCAGCCACATTTCACTGGTCCTGTCTTCCTTTCGAAATTGCAATTCCTTTCCCTATTCCTCCTCCCAAGAATATTGAAACATGTGATATAGGAACAGGAATAGGCCATTCAGGCCATTCAAACAGATCATGCTTGTTTTCCTCACTATATCCGTATCCTTTGAGGTTATTAGTATGCCAGCATTTCCCTTTCTGTCAACTCCCAATTAACATTTCCACCCAACACTTATCATGCCTTCTCATGCAAGTGCAATATGTAAGGTATGGGGTGGATTTTACAGATTAGCCATAACCTCAAACCGGAAAATCTGTTAGCACTGTGCCATCATAACCTGGTTACCATGCTGCAATAATACACTGTTGGCAACCTTCATTGGACTGGCATGACGTCGGCCCCATTCTGGGAGCACGGCCCCATCTAGACAGCTGCCAGCTAATCTGGTTGACTGGCAGATCTGTAGTCTCTGCAGTACCATAATTGAGTAGTGTCCATTGTTAGGGCGACCGGCAGTCAACAAGGATGAATTGTAATGCATCCCAGACATTAGATAAGTCTAGAGTTTTTGTCAAGTCTACACAGCAGAACCCAGCAGGTCAGGGGTGGTCAGGTTTTAGAGACAGGGACAGTGGAATAAAGGAGACTATAATCTCGGGGGGATGATCTTTGAATGGCATAGACAACCCCCTAATAGAGCCCTTCCTCCTCTCCAGCAGCCCACACAGTGAACGCTGCTGGGCTGCCCACCTTGGCTATGTACTGCTCTGCCACATGTAATTTAACAATACGTGATCATCAATATGTTCATGGTCAGGTAGGCTGCTGACACATTGCTCACCAATCATAATCTGGGAGACAAACCAGGGCTAGGTGAGACAAACTACACATGTTTTTTACAAATGCCCTTGCCTTTAAATATACTGGCAGAATACTGTAAACCTCATCCCTGTTTCAAAAGTTATTGTTATTTCTTGTAGACAGCTTTTAGACAAGTATACACCTACCAATTATAGTACATCATTAGGTTTATACTAGAAATTATCCTGGAAAATAGTTTTACCTGTCCAAATTCCAATCATTTTACTGCATTACAAAGGAAAATTAGCTGAGCAAGTCTTTTTTGCTTCACTCACTCATTCTGTTATCTAGATCATTATAAATATCAAGAAATCCTGACGAAAGATGAAAGACTTCAATGAAAAATGCATCAGAACATATCAAAGCACATTTTTGAAAAATGTATTGCCTGCTGTAATAGGGATTTCCTTTGGCTGCCTTTAGCCTTATTTACTAGAACTACACTCTGGCTTATTGTTTATTAGTAGTCATTTTGCAATTACATGTGAATTAAACTTTTTGCACAATAATAGAAGTAAAGTCTTCTTTATGAATGGACTAATTCTAATTGACCTGAACCTGCAAGTTCAATACCATTGTGCCAAGATTTGCACTAAGTGTGAAAAGAAGTGCTAGAATTAAACTACCCAATATTTGACATACAGAGGCATAGGCTTATGGGGAAAGTTCATCCAGTACCTTATATTGAAGGATTTAATGGATTTCCGTACAAATTAATGGAAGCAAGCTGGTCACTAAAACATTATTCTGTACTACTGTATCATATCTTACTTAACTTTTGACCTTGTTATATTCAAGCCCAACAGTAAAATCCTTTTAGTTTGAATGTATTAAGTGCTTCAAATTGGCATAAATGTGTTCCAGTGCATCATTTTCAATGTTTGACACATTTCAATATTGGATAGTTTACTAAGGATTTTTTTTCTATAAGATTATTTTTCTATATGCTTGCTCATTTTGACACAGTATAATATCATGCATATGAATTGTAAAGCGAAAGGTTAAACAAACAGTATATTTTGTGTTGGCCTACATGTTGATTGCATGTAATTATCTCACTAAGTGCAGTGACCTGCTCACAAACTTTGTGTTGTCATTAATGCAAATTTGGTGCAATTTTGAAACCTGTCCAGAACATTTGTTTTTACATAAAGTGGGTTTTAATTTTAGAACAAAAAACTGAATATGCTACGCCTTTTAACTATGATCATGATAAAGATGAAGAAATTTCCTGCAGACTTTCACTGGCAAAAAAATACAATCAATGTGGGTCAACAGAAGTATATACTGTATCTTATGGGATTTTTCAACTACATTCTAAGGGGAAATGTTCTAGTCTCTGTGAGTCACACGGTAAATCTCACAATGTATGGAAAGGATGGAACTGGGAATGCTGTTTGGGAGTGGGTGCATTGTATCCAATAGAATTAGCATGCTGGCTAATTTTGCTAGCTTCAGAGTCTTGAGATCTTCTGCAGTCGCTCTTGACAATGATGTTTAATGTGAGGGTGTCCTACTTAAATTAGGACAGTCAAAAAAAATTCACTGTCTGAAAAAAAAAGCATAGACACCAGTATGACACACTTTGGTTTGAATAAATGAGATAGTTGAACCCAGAATAGATCTGTTAGAGCTTTACTTCATTTCCATATAACTCAAAGGATATAACATGCATAGGTTGTTTTCTACAATAAACTGTCATTTCTATAATTTTGACCTTCTGTGTCGGCTCCATTCTTAATGTTACTATGTATGATAACTAATTAATAATCTATGTTCACTACATAGCAGTTCGTTTCATAAATTATGCAAAATTTAACAAGCAATGAAATGAGTCGAACGACTGGAAACTGTGGTTCTTAAATGGCAATGAAGGAAAAATCTGTGTAGCAATTGTTCTAGTGTCAGTATGTATATGGATATTGATTTATTGGTTTAGGCAATGCCACTGGTCAGTCCCTGCACTGGCTGTGGGGTACTTTCCATTGAGATCATTAAGAATAGCCACAACACAAGAGATCAACATTAGTTTCCACAACAACACTGAAAGTAGCCTTATGTGAATGAATTCTGCAACATACATATTTTACATACTCAATATTTGCACTTTCCGAAAGACTATAAGCATGGCTATAATTTAAAATGCGCCTGTTTAATTCAGTGTGATTAGCGGGTCAGTTTACACATGGAGGCAAATTAGCATGCAGCATGAAGTTCACTATAAATAGGAAAATTAAGTGTTTCATGGAGAATTGAATTAATTTTACCCTTGCTAGGTTCATTCTAAATGATTGCACCAGTGTAGTGAGCTTGAAGGTAATAGCGTGCTGCAACATACCTACCCATAATATCAAATCTCGTTCTGATAACCCTACTTTTTTTTCTAATCAACCCATTTAGAGATACTATCACACACCTCTGGAGCTGGTGTGCCTTGAAACCAGGACCCCTGGAGCACAAGGGCCCACGATCACATTAATCAAATATATATTCTATACAAGACAGATACAGTCAGTAGATAACAAGGTGTAGAGCTGGATGAACACAGTGGGCCAAGCAGGAAAGCTGACGTTTCGGGCCTAGACCCTTCTTCAGAACTCCCCCCAACTCATCAGGTATTTATCAAATCAGAGATAGTAGGAACTGCAGATGCTGGAGAATCCGAGACAACAAGGTGCAGGGCTGGATGAACACAGCAGGCCAAGCAGCA